TAAAAATACAAATATAAATATATAAATATATATATAAATATATAAATATATAAATATATACACATACGGCGGAGAAGTCATACTTCAATTACGCTTATCATATTCGATCACGATCCACTACCAAAAGCCGCAAGGGCGGACACGTTTCTAAAATGAAATTGGTCCACTGCTCGACCACTTAGTCTCATATATATTAGCGAAGAGTGTATAAAATAATGAGCTTCGCCAGAGAATCTTAGCAATATTTATACACAACTTCATTCGAGGGGGCAGCCAAGAATAATGAATTCCGGCGAGGATACCCTGGCACCACAAAGTACGACCTCATCGACCACTTCAACGGATTCGATTTGCGTATCCGATAATATGGGTGTCTTGAGCAAGGATTTGGAAGGCAACAGCAGCAACGACGTTCCATCCGTGACTTGTTACAGAACAGCACATGTGTCTGCAGCTGTATCAGGTGACTATAAATCTGACGATGACGTAAGTGCGGAAAATGAGATCCGTGGCTTGACTGGTTTGTTCAAAGCTATAGATATAGATGACCCGGCAGCAATAGCGAGGATTGTTGTGGAAGAGGGCGTGGGTGTGGAGCGTTGTCATAGTGACGATATGTGCACACCGTTATATATGGCTGCATCAAAGGGCAGTGTCAGGCTGGTGGAATTACTGTGCCGATTGGGCGCAGGTATGTTTTATGAATGCTGTGTGTGAGCTCAGTATACTGTACTCGAAAATATACGCTTCGATTTCAGCTGGACCAGATTGATTCGCAGGTATGTATAGTTGGGTTTATGATCGCGTACTTTCGAAATTCGACGCCCTTTGCTTTCGGCCAGTCCATATATATCTGCAATATATTTTGAGTGGTCACGAACGATCGTTACACCTTTACAACTAGTAGCTTCAGTACGTGGAGTGTATGATGCTTTCTACGATTTTACTACAGACCGTTGCCATGCGTTTGAGATATGTATGTATAGTTCTCAATTCTTGTGTGAACATCTGGAAGGGTTTAAATCGGTTTGTTATACAGGCGCCTTTAAATTGTGTTGAACGTCATATTCATATGTTGCGAATGTTATATGGGTGCTGAAGCTTCATTGATAGCTGACAATTTACGTTCCAGATGTCAATTCAAAATCCAGATCGGTTGGGAATACACCACTGCACGTGGCTTCTTCGCTTGGGTTTGTACGTGTCGTTGAGATACTACTAGACAACGGAGCGGATGTGTCTGCAACGAACAATTTAGGACAGACGGCTCTATCAATAGCGTCCACACAGGAAGTCGGTGCCTATCTGACATGGTGGGAGTGCGAGGCCTCGCCTACGAGTTTAATAGCTGTCCCGTCATTCGTTGACTCATAGTAAGTGACACGATGGCTTTTGTGCAGTTGAGAAGTTGAATTTCATTGCGCTTGAAGATCAGTCACAGTATAAACGCGGAAGTAGGGCATTTATTTAGTGGAAAGCTGCACCTAGTTGCTTCTTGTGGCCAGCTTGTCGTTGGCATCGATGGTGTTTCAACTTCTCACGGTGTTTCACTTAATCAATGCGACATCCCCTGCAGTCGAACATGGGTCGTGCAACAGGCTGTCAGTGCAGTAAGCACAGGGCTCGCTACTGGACTGGCAACGCTACCAACAAGCACGCAGAGTGAAATCAAAAGCCGGGTTTCCAGTATAGATATGGAGATGCTCAGTTTCGCGGGTGTACGCGCTTATGTCGCTGAACGGCCCCGCCTGTGGCTACTGGGGACGCCCGATGACTATGAAGATGATCTGTATGCTGGGGCAGGAAGGGAATCGGCTGTGAGTTCTGAGATAAGAAAGTGGGAAACCGGCACCGCATTTACAGGTGAGTATCATCGTTAGTATTCCAGCACCAGCACTACATAAGTCAATGTTTTATTCCACTGATTCGTTTGCGCTGCACGAATGCCTCACTTGCACATCAGGACAATCTCGTACACAATATTGGCTCGTGTCGCGTACGCATAAATGGTGTGGTTGTCTCCAATGTGGAGATCAGCTCAGTCCCTGGTGTTCATCACTCGAATCTGAATACATTGCGAATTTGAATCTGGTCTCAGCTTCGACAAAGAGTTCCGTCGGTCCGTTGAATGGGCCAATGAATGCACAACCGACAATTTCTGAGAACTTTGAAAAGTCTAAAAGCGACAAGGGCAAATGTGATAAAGAAGATAGCGTTCTACAAGATCAGATATGTAAGGTAGCTATGCTCTTGGGGTGTGCTCCATCGAAGCTGCTCTTCTCGTCTATGGTCCGGAGTGACGGGAGTACAGCCGCCCACCTCGCTGCGAACATCGATGCGGAACGAGTATTGGAGCAGCTGTTTACTGTGAAAGGCGCTGAAGTGAAAGTGAATACGAAACGCAGGGATGGTCAGACTCCTCTACATGTTGCAGGTTTGTGATTTGGGGCGGCTGTTTTATTGCAATTGCACTTCTGTGAGCGTGTTAGCTGGCACAGTAGGTGCGTTGCTGGCGGCGTGCGTGGATTATAGTTGTAGCAATTGTTATGAACACATGCGCAACCCTTTTTCCTCTCCATATTTATCGAGTGTTCTTTGAAAACAGATATTTCTAGACTCTTATACGCTACCCCAATTGCTTCTACAGCTTACAGGGGCAACGCACATTGCTGCGCGATTCTCCTTCTACACGGTGCCAGCCTCAATACGCACGACAGCAGCTCGCGGACAGCACTCCATCTAGCTAGTAGTAGGGGACACGTGCACATAGTCGCAGTCTTGTTGAGACACGGTGCAGATGCGAATGCCCAGGATACCAATGGCAACACGTGCGCGCATGTGGCCGCTGTAAATGGCCATGATCGCGTGCTTGATGTGCTCGGTGACGAGGGCGCTGATGTCAATGTGCTCAATAATCAGGGCAAGACGCCGCTGGACTGTGCGGTAGCGCTGTCGCAGCAGAACGTGGTTGATTTGCTGAAAGGTTCGTATGCTGGGCTGCGTGGGAAGGAGGTGAGGGCGCAAGCGGTTAAGGGGGAGAGGGGTATGATTATGAGTGCCTTCGACAATATGATCGATGCTGCATACGAACGGCTTTTGCCAGACGCGGTGAAGAGTGTGTTTGCACTCTCTGAGACTATGAACAAACTTAAGGGGACAAGCAACAAGAAGGGGAAGGGCATGTCACAGATGCGATCGGCCACGGATCCGAGCGAGATAGAGAGGAGGAAAGAACGGGTCGAAAGGCTATTTGCGCGCACAAGCAGGATTTTGGTATTAACCATGGCAGTGGCTGTGAGTGTCGTAACGGTGGCTGTGAGTATGACTGGGATCTCCGTGATTGGTGTTAGTTTGATGGGTGGTGTAGACAACGAAACATTGATCTGGGTGGTCAGCGTATGCGTGGTGCTAGGCGCGCCTGTGGTCACATATCTCTTGTACAAACTATATGCGATGTTAAATGTCGATGAGCAGAGTATAAGTGCGCAACCCAGTTCTAGTGGTGTATCGTCATCGATCAGGTCAGGGAAGCAAACGGAGAATACAGCAAATATTCCTGCGAGGACACGACCTCGTTCCACAAATAAAGCGGTTAAGTAGAAACAAGGGTCAGGTGTGAAGGCATGTGTAAATTGTGTCTAAGTGAGAGGACTTTTTCTTTTCAGATCCGATACAGTTCAATTGAGCGGAAACCTCACAATGGGCACACAGGATTTTTTTTCTATTATAATTTATGAAAGTGCACAATCGATTTCACTTCATACAGAAAAAAGAGCGAGTGGATAAATTTTGAATCATATGTATACCGACACGTGTGGACTCGAGCTATGCGTTATATAAACAGAAGGGATCGAAGAGTTATATAAATCAGAAGGGATCGAAGATGGATCAAACTCTTGCATATTTAATCCATTCTCTGTTTGGGATGTAGCTTTCCATTGACATATGGAGTTTGATCATATACTTGCCGGACTTTCTGAGCATAATCCAGAGGATGAACTTCAAAACTATCTTTCCATGCATTCGAAATGGAAAGGTATTCTTCCGGTCAAAAACTGGTCAGCGATCCAAATATCTTTGCAGTAGGCAATTATATTCTTGACACGGCTGCGACAGATTGTGAAGATGCGCAGTGGCATATACTCAATGCGCGACACGCGACAGTTGATTTAATCCGGCGATCAAGCATTTAAACTTCTCAGGATTGTGATCCGTGTACTCGTCGATAGAAGACATCCGGTTTAAACCTACCCTGGCACAGGCAGAATGTTGGTGCCCAGGGATAGCTGATAAGTTTCAGTCATAGCCGTGTTTTGGCTTGCGGCCCCTACTACCGACTCAGTACGCCAATTCAAGTCGTACTTCTTCTCAGGTGCCAATTCTACGATGGGATTCGCTGCAATTTTCAGAAAGATAAGCAGCTATACGCTTCTTGTAGACCCCTCGCAGCGACATAGGAGTTGAGATGACCACCAGCAAGTGATGGTCCGGGCATGGACGGCCGGGTAACCACTTTCTCACCGATACTAGAATGTGGAGCAACGGGGAGGGATACCCACGATTTTTAGTGTGTAAGAAGGAAAGTACTGTATCAGGCGAGTACAATATATTAATTATACTTTTATAGTTGATCAGGATTGTCTCATTCATTGTACTTCCTGTGTGACTATCTGGTTGGCAGAAATGTCTGAGCACGCCCTGCAAGCGCCGTTACACGATCCAATAGAGCCATTCAAAAAAATACATTTGCATCGTTATTTGTAGGAGCAAACAAGAATATACAAGTACACAGATCCAAGTACAATATCTAGTGAAAACGGACCAGGCGCAGGCCAGTTGTTATGGAAGTAAATCCCCTAAACCTGGAGAGACTCCAGATAGTGTTGTGAAAATGGCTGCAATTCCAAGATGACAATCGAAATAGTTGACGAGGTAGAGCGAATCACACCTGCCAGTATGGCTGTAAAATATACGTTCGCATACCTGGGACTCTGTATAGCATCCTCCAGGGTTTTGAATTGATAGATGTGACCTTCTCTTGCACGGAAAGTCGCTTGTGGAGTTGGCGCATACATATACGGTTGTAGCCGCGCCTGGGGGATCGCTGCTCGCGGCTTGACAGCGTATGTCTTGGGTTGCGCAGCTATATTGAACGATAGATATTCCATTTAAATAAGTCATCTCTACAGCGAACTAGAATACATCAACCTCCACTTTATCGATAATTATGTGTATTGCGGGAAATTCGAATTTGAATCCCCAACTTTAAACAGCTGATATTACCGCTACATCGAGAATCTAAACATACGCTTCTATGAAGTGTAAAGTATTCCATCCTGCAAGATACAGAACGCACATATGTACGATTACCGAGTCTTGTGAAGAGTGCGATTTGTCATTACACACACGCTAGCGGTTAGTACACAACGCAGCGAGTTGAAACATACTCGAATTGTGATTTATCCACACGTATATATAAACCCGCTTCTAAACAGGATTTCAATTACAAACCTTTGACTTGTGCCGCACGTTGTGTCTTCTGCCTCTTGGCTTTCTTGAAATTTTCGATTACTTCGCCTGCTCTGGATTCGTCTACGGCTGCCTGGTGAAATCGGATGGGCGCATATGGTGAGGTTCGAATATGCCGAGCTCATTTTTGATAAACAACACCAATTGGTTTGCTAGTTGGCAGGTACAACAGTGAAAGATGGCGGAAAGTGAATCGACACCTCAGCTGGAGAAAGTATCACGATACTTACGAGTTGCTGCATCAACTGTTCTTTGTCCTTCTTCTTGTTCAGTTTTTCCTGGTCGATTTCAGTGAACGCTTGCTTCCATAGTAGTTTTTTCCTTAACTCCTCTTCCTTCACTTGTTCTCGCACCAGTCTTTCTTCATCTTCCTGAGGGTGAACAGTCAAATTGGCTTTCGTGAAGTGGGTCCACATACCAAGAACATAAACGTCTGGGCGAGCAGTAACGCGCATCTTCTGTTATAATTCTCTGAGAGAACAAGCAACAGATCCATGAAAATGTAGGTATGGGTAGTACTTATGTTTACCTTCCTGCTGCGATTGCTTTGAATCAAACGTTTATTCTCGACTCTGTTCTTATCTACCAAGGCCTTCGTTTCATCGATATTAATCCTATTTACCAAGTTGTATACTGGAGTTGTAAATGTAATTCACGGTCAGTAAAATGAAGCGAACGACGTCGCTTGCAAACTAAGTGTACAAGGCGCTAGATAATAGATAGGGCAGCAGTGTATTCCACCCACCCGTAACAGTTGCGTACAAGTGAAAAATTGTTCGAGCACTCGTAATTAATTTCAAGCAGAAGCGAATTATTCGAACAAGGAGACCGTAAACAAGGCCAATCTGATCAAAACGAATACGGCATTTGACATACTTATATCTTCAATGTCTTCTAGATATTGGTTATAGGCATCTAAGCTTTCGAAGTCATCTCTAGTTTTATTGAACCTGTATTAATGAATCCCAAGCAAAAAAAACAGTGTGATATTAAGAGCATGATAATGAGTTACGCAGGCAACAGGCAGTGACGAGAGCATTTTGTCATACAATTGTCTACAAAGGCTACCAACTGACATTTAGACTACATCAATAGTTTGCTACCGGCAATGAAGGTGTCACACTTTTAGAACTTACTCGTTTACAATGTGTTGGCGCACCTGTATCTCTGATTGCACAGCAGTATCCTCATATATCTACCAAGATAGAATAAGTAAAATTAAATCGTTGCCGCTCGAAGTGGTAGTATTCAGATTCGTCACTATTCGCGATGTAAAGAAGTCATGCAAGCTAATCACTGGTATGGCAAATTGAAGTTTTTGCAAAGCATACAGTAAGCGCTTCACAAGCTATAGTGAACAGCAGCAACTCTGGAAGAAGAGAGAGAACATGAATAATACCACCAGCCCATTTGAATATCGAGGATATGAATTTGTCATCTTAAGCTCGCAGGCATATCGCCATTGTAAAACTGGAAATTCCAAGCGGACACACGTCCCAGACTGTTCGCGCCCTGCTCGAAGATTTGACAGTAAACGCTTCACAAGATATATGTATATAACCGCAGCAGCGCTGGCAAAAGAGAAGGAACATGAACTTTAACACGCACCCAGTTGAATATTGAAGATATGAACTTGTCCAATACAGCTCGCAGGCATATCGCAATTGTGAAACTGTAAAATACAAGCGGACACACGTTCCAGACTGTTCACGCCCTGCTCAAATATATGCACTGCAACGTTCTATCGGCTCTGCCTCATATGCAAGCCACTTATGCAAGAGTAAAAGATCTGTAACGGCATGCCATAATCATGGTGACTCACGAGTACCCCCAAGGACAGCTTGTTCACGCGCACCTTTGAACAGTGAGCAGTAAACCCTAAATTTAAACACCGTTTACAATCCACGCACCTGAGTCACAAAATTTGACTGTCGCAACGTTGTTCCGCAGCCGGGTATGTAGCACTGTCCAACACCTGTAGCTCCCATTAAACGCTTCATACAATGATCGCATCTGCACAGAACCATACAACATGAACGATTCACCATCATACTCGATGTACCCCAGCAAAAAAGAAAAGTTCTGCGCGTATGCCATAACATACAGTAGAAGTCTTTACATCGTCCATTAGCGAGCAGCGTCTAAACTGATCTATCCTCACTAACGTATTTCATAAATACTAAACTTGCCACGAAGACAAACAATTCATGAAATAAACTAACGGAAAAACAGAGAACATGTTAATACATCAACTTGTACATACTTGTAAAAGTAAC